AAATAGATCTAGTCCTATAGATTACTGCTTGACAAAGCAAAACACAAACAAGGCTTACTTCATCGTCATCTTCAACATCTTTTTCCTCAGCATCTGAAGAGTCGCTCTCTGCCTCCTGCTGCTCCAGGGCCTTGTCGAAGGCATGGATTGGGAAGTTGTAGATGTCGCCATACTGAAGAACATACAGAGATTTGTTTTTACTACATTTGGAATCTTACACGAAAGTCCACTGTCTAACAAGCATGTTATTTTTTCCTCAGTGATGTGAGAATACATAATTTGATAAGTAGTATTTTTATATTGTTTTCAAGCCTAGAGATGAGAGTGTCTTTAAAAAGCCCATTTTTGACATTTAAATAATCAGTGGTTAATGACCAAACTGGTAACTTCTATGAAGAATGGAAGCAGATCACTTAAAACTCAGCACTTTATAAAACCCATCTGTGCATTAGAACAAATGTAATTTCCTGACAAAGGGAAAATAAGGAAAAAAATTTTATTCATGTTGTCTCTGTAAATGACACTAAATCTAAAAAAGAATAAACATTGATTTTAAAGAACCTTAAAAGAGGAGTACAGGCAGGAGGATCAAAACTATGGCTTTGGGGTGGCCGGTTAGCTTAGTGGTAAGAGCGTGGTGCTGCTAACACCAAGGTTGCCAGTTTGAACCCCGCATGCGCCCTCCCTAAAAGAGTAAACTATGCCATTGTAGCATGAAAGCAATGTGTAACCAATGACCATGGCTGTTCCCCAATAAAATTTAAAAAAACCCAAACAACAACTGCATGGCTTTTCTAGAGATCTAGAATTGCATTGGGAACAGGAGTTGGGAACGGCAAAAGGGAAGGGTCTCCTATACTAATGAAGTATCATGGATCAAGTATAATACAAAGTAACCAAAGCATTTTATGTGCTTGCATCAATGAACTAAATGAGGAAGCCAGGACCTATGTGATATTTATTCCAGGAATAAAATCAAGGTGACCATCGTTCTAACATCTTTAAAAATAAACACATTTTCTACTATTGTCACATCTCCTAGTATGATATTACCACCAAAATAAAATTTGTACACCAAAGCTTCTAGCTTTCTCACCGTATCTTGTTTAAGTCTTTCCAGCAATTCCTTTTCAATGGCATTGTCCAGCTGAGCAGCTATTAATGCCTTTTCCTGTAAGACAGAAAGAGCAAACCCATTTACTTCATTAGTATTCATTTTTCAGCCTGTAGAAGTAGAAGAAACTATCAAGTTTTTATAAGAAAGATGATGTAATCA